TAAAGAGGGAATTTTTGTTTTTGAAAATGTATATAATTAATTATCTTATAAAAAGCTGTAAAAGATTAAAAACTTTGAACTCCTCAAAGATATATTCTGAGGGGTAGCGGGGAGGTTTCCGTAGAGAAAATGTTATAATGGCTTTTTGAATAATTTTAAAAGGGGCCAGAATACTTTTATAGCCACCACCCCACGCTAGATTCCCAAATTGTAGGGTGAGTGCATCAGTGAATGACCGTTTAAGGTTGACTTTCTACTCGTATCCGACATGGGAAAATATACTACTAAGCTACATTGTAGGAAATGGTTTAAATGTATTACCCATATTTCCCTGTACTTCCCGATGATACAAATTAATGTATTATGTTAAAAAAAGTGTCCAAAAATACAATTTTTTTAACATAAATCATCGCACCAGTGAATGACCGCATATTATATAGGTAACAATTTTAAAATTGTATTAAACCTCCTCCTTTTCACCGAACATCCCCCGTTCAAGGTTTTCGCATCGAAGCTTGAAACCCTGTAGTGAAAAATAACAATATCAGGGTCGTCAAAATATAGGTTCTAGTGAAAGATCACTTTTTATTGAGGAAACGACCGTAAGATTTAACTCGCATTCAAACTTTGGTTATAGTGTATCCACATAATTTCTGATGAAATTTTGGGTTTCCTAGCAATCGCTTACTCCATCAGAAAACATTGTCATCAATATCAATAAAGAAAATTGACCTAAATCCAGTTAATGACCGAAACGGTCATTCACTGGTGATACCCTAATTTGTGAACCAGTACCTTAACATGTTAACTGTGAATTACATTTAATATATTACAGTTCCAATCAATAATTAAGGAACCATTACAATTTACAACCAACCATGTTTGTGCGAGACGCCATAGTAGGAAGCTTAAAAACGAACTGCTTGAAACATCTAATTTTGTTTATGTTACAAAAGGATGATTGACACTTTCTTTTTTAGTCAGTCACAGAGTGAATTTTAAAGACCCCAAAGTTACTTTTTAACACGTTTGAAATGGACTAGGAAATACAGAAAGCCTGATATGATGTGTTTTATACAAAACGGTCATTCATTGGGGGGTGGTCATTCACTGGTGCACTCACCCTAGAATAGACTGTATGTATACATGGTAAATGTTTTTGAGAAGATCAAGAGGTAAAATTTTGGATATATTAGAAAAAACAAAAATGAATTTACGTAGTTTACATCTAATTTGATTTATGTGACTAGTCCATTTCAGCCGACTATCAAACATCACCCCTAAATACTTAAACTCATTCACACATTCAATACTTTCACACTTGTCACATCCAATCTCGGCACCACAACCATGTAATTTTAAATTGCAACAGTTAATAAATTTGTATATAATTAAATAACATATAAATAGCCTATTACCAGTCAATTAAGCCTTACAGCCTATTTAAAATATATTATGTTTACAATCTATTTCAAACACAAGCTAAAATAAAAATAAATATATAAAATTAAATAAATCTCAAAAAGCCAATTTACACTAATGAAATTTAATATAATATTAATTGACCTGAGTTATTAAAAGTGAACAGTGAATTTCAATATCTAGAAGACCTAAGTGCATTGTTGAATTAGAACATGTGTTAGCACTAGACTTCCTTCTTCTTCTGCCATGAAATAGCCTGGGTAATAGTTTGAAACAAATGAGTGTGGTTTTAATATTAATATGTTCTAATAAAAAGTGAAAGCTAAACCAAAATCGTTTATTATTTCAAATAGGAAGAAGATCTGGAAAATTGAACTTGGTAATCTCCATCTTATTATTACAGACTAGCCTATTTAGGTGTTGGACAATTTGGAACATTACTTCTGAGGTGGATCAAGTAGCCTCATAGCTGTTAAAATTTATATAAAATCTTTGATTCAAGTAAATACTTTTAGTAATTAAATTAGAAAAACAATAGCTTTTAGTGAAATTACAAACAAACAGACATTAAAATTAGGCTATAAGCCATGTGCTTGAGAGAATAAATTTATTAATTTGTTTTTGGAACAATCCTATCTAAATTTAATATAACATTATTTGGTAAATAAAATAATCAAAAGGCTATCACCTTATTATCAAAAAAAGTCTCATAAATTAAAAGATTAGCAAGGAAATTGGAAAATAAAGAGAGTTCCTAGCACTAACCCAAAAAAAAACCCCTGAGGTTGCAAAATCTAAATCTAAAGGATCATAATCAGATCTAAGTGAAATCGGCATGTATTTTGTTTTTGATAAGTTTACAGTTGGCTTATTCTGGTCGAACCATCGCTTGACAGTGAGAAGGCCGCGTTCGGCGTTGCTGTACACCTCCGGCCAGCTGTCGCCCTCGAACAAGAGCACTGTGTCGTCGGCGTACAGAAAGATCTGCCCTTTGTTTAAGTTAATTTTTCCCAGGTTATTTATGTATATTAAAAATAACAGAGGCCCCAAGGTCGAACCCTGGATAACTCCATAATCAATTCTTTTTTGTGAACTATTTTGGTTTAAAATCGAGACAATTTAAAAACGTTCAGCGAGATAATCTTCAAACCATTTTAAAGTGACGCCTCTCACCCCTATACATTTCAACTTATTAAGAAGTAATTGTCTGTCAACGGTGTAAAAGGCTTTAGCTAAATTTATAAAGACAATCAAGTCATCTATGAACTTGAACTTGAAGGGATTAAAAACTCTCTGAACACTGTCATAGAACATAATAAGCCCCAGGAGCAGACCCCCCTCTCATACCCCGAGCGACAGTTGACAGCTCCGCCTCACCCACTAGTCCAGGAGCTGAGGGGGTTTGAGCATGCATAAAAGTAGTACGCAATGTTATTGCTGATTATTTTAATATGGACTGTGGTGATCAAAATTACGTATGTCGCCTATTTCAAAAGTGGTCGATAAGGTGGGGGGGAGGGGGCAAACATGGCGGTTTGCGCTATGCGTTAAAACGCTGATAGTTCGAAAACGGTAAAGGATAGAACATCGGTTAAAACGTCGTTGTAATTCTAAAAATGTGGACAACAATAATGGTTATAGGGTCCGAGGTCGTATCTCTATAAATAAACAAGTTATTGCATAAAATATGTAAAATGGACTTTTCGTGTAGTTTTTTTACCGAAAGTAGAATTAATTTGTGAGTGTCGCAAAGAAGTAATATCAAATATCTTTGCTGATAGTTGTAATATGGACTGTGGTGATAAAAAATACGCATGTCGCCTACTTTTCAGGTGGTCGAGAACTTGGGGGGAGGGGGGCAAAGATGGCGGAACGCGCTATGCATCGAAACTACTGTAGCTCGAGAACGGTACGAGATAGGACATCGGTTAAAACGTAGTTTTAATCCAAAAAATATTACCATTAGAAAAGGTCATTGGGTAAAAAGTTGTATCTTAACTAATAAAAAAGTTATAACAATAATAAGTTTAACAAAATCTACATCGTACAGCTAATTTTTTTGAAAATTGTATGGATTGTTGATAAATAATAGTATAATTACTTAATTACTCCGCTAAATATTAACTAGATGCATTTTCTTATAAGAAAAAAATATATTATTACGAATACATTTGGTTTAAAATGTAAAACACAGCCTCCAAACTACATTATAATACTTGGGGTTTCGCCGCAATCAAATGCATAATACAGACTACCACTACAAATCCAATTTTAATTATTATAATGTTGTAGGTTATTACAATATGATTATGTAACAGATTCTTATTCAATACAGTTAAATGAAATAAAAAACATTACTACAAAAGTAAATACCTTATAATAAAAAATACGGCAAATCTCTTCATTCTATCCATAACAATTACACTGGTTGTTCTTATTATTTTTTGACACTACGCTAACTCGCCTCCAGGTTGAAGTTTGTTTGCTATGCTTACTCACCTTTTGGTTGCAAATTAGCTGTTGTCATAAATTTAAAAAAATAATAGTGCTGCACCCTGTTGGTAAATCTATTAAATTTTTAATGCTATTGAACATCACAGAATCAAATTGTTTAGTTGAACCAGCTGTTAAGATTTTTTAATTCTATTTAAATATGAGTACTCGACTCATAAGGTTAACATGGGAAACTCTAGAGCCACTGGGGCGAAGCCCTTTTGACGGATCTGCACCAAACTTCACACAAACCATCCTTGAATAATGATCTTAATAATGCCTGAAAGTTTCATTACAATCTGTTGAGCAGTTTCGGAGTTCATAAAGGACAAACAAACAAACATACATTCGATTTTATATATATAGATTGAAATTTTTAAGAAAACCGAATCCATAGGAAACAAAAATACCCCCATCGCATCAAACCATGCAGTCTAAGCAAATTACCATTACCCTACTGTACCCTGTGTGATTATTAATACTGGACCCTGATTAGATTTAAGTTATTCTTAAATTCAGATTCAGTTTTCTTAATTTTGTAAGTCAGATAATAGGTAATTTGTTAGTTACTGGAATCACACATGGAATTTAATTTCAAACCTTTCTTGTCATAAAACCAATGATTTACTTTCAACGTATTATCCTAACTCTTCCTTCAAGGTTTCGCGAAATGCAAAAATGTTGTGTCTTATTTACAATAAATTCCCAATAACACTAAACGCCATAGATAACTACAACAACGCATATCAGGTGATCGGCAATGAGGTAATAAACAGGGATACCACAATGTAAGGTTGTTTTGTCATTAAAATATTTGTCTCATAGTACTTTTTATGTCGGCTGCGCATTATAAAAAACACCCTGTATTATTGTGAAATAAGTGGCTATTTATTTGCACATTGTGCAATAAAAAAATATTATAAATGATACACCATTTTAAATTTAAAGCTTTCTTCATTCCAAATCCAATAATGAAAGTTTGGTATTGAAGACATTCTGTAGATAACCAGATACAGATCTTATCTATCCACTAACCTGTTTCAAGTCTTCTCTAACAAGAAGAAACAAGTCTTCTAGTCAAGCTTTTGTTCGGTGTTACAAACCCTGAATAGATTTTACTTTTAGGAGATGTAAGGATCCGTTGAAACTAAACAATGGTCTTAAATAAGATTTGTTTTATACCTGAATAACTGATTAACCAACCAAAACTGGATTGACAAAAAGCAGGTAAGCGTTAGTTAAAAAAATATTTATTCCTGTTGAATATCTGTATTAAAGATGGAAATTTAAGAGTTAAACTCACAAGACTTTTACTATGTAAAAACTCCAAAGAGGTCAACTTCAAATAATAATATTAACTTCAAATTTAATAAGCTTAATAAGTTAAAAGTAATAGTTTCCTTGTCATAAGGAGTTTTAATCTGACTTCAAGGTTATATGTTTTTGTGTTAAACTAATCTTCTCGGGAGTGACTTTTTCGAAGCCAAGATATTTTTCTTAGCGGCTTGTGACTCTTTTAAATTCATACAAAAAAAGCAGAGAGCTCTGTGCTAAAAGTCAACTTTTCAATTATGAAAGCTTGTACTACTTAATGACAGCAGACTAAAACTATATTTCCATAAACGCAATATAGGTATTCATGGCTTCAAAAAGCTTTCAGATTATGTCTTATATTTTAAAAAACTTTTGCAAAACTTATGACAGCTAGCCTGATCATACTACTGGACCGAATTACATGTGGTTGGTACCAAATGAAAGATATTTTCTTGTAGATGTGCAGAATTCCTTTATAAATTAAAATAGGCTCAAAAATAAGCAGAAAAAATTAATTTGAAATAAAAAAAAATTAACATGGGCATGGGTTGCCATGCTGGTGACAAAATATAAACAGAAAATCCAAACAAATTCCAATCACATGTTTTATTGCCAGTGTGGAGTGACGAGTTTTCGACTACATGGCGACCTCTATAGGAACAAATATAAAAATAAACTTTTCTTATAGAGATTTAACATGGAGCCAAAATTTAATAAAGCTTAGCCTGACCGAATTACACGCGGGTTGTACCAAAATAAAGGTGCAGGTTTAATTATAAAGGTTAAATATAAGTGCAAGTTTAATTTTTTATTTTGAAAATATTTATGTTAATTGGGTCAAAATGGAAATTAAACTTTTCTTATGGAGATTTAACATGGGGCTAATTTTTTAGCTTACGGCAGCCACCCTGACCATACTACTGGACCGATTTACACGCGGTCGGTACCAAATTAAAGGTAATTGTCTATATATTTGCCCTCTTTGCTTCAGATTTCAGATATTACTCAACTAAATGTTATAAAAACGGAAATTAAAATCTCTATTGACTATTTAACAGGGGTAAAAATTTAAGTCAGAAATTAAGAGTGAGATCTGGAGTTCTATTGGACCGATTTACATGCAGGTTGTGTTAAATGAAAGGTAATTAACTCTATATAATTATAGAGGTAATACTAGGTTATAGGTAATACTATTCCTTTATTTAATCTTCTAAAAATGGAATTTAAAATCGTATATATAAAAAACTTTTGCAAAACTTATGACACCTAGCCTGACCATACTACTGGACCAAAAATTACACGTCCTATATGTGCAGGTTTGATTTATATTTTGAGAATACCGTATTTATTTTAATTTGGTCAAAAATGGATATTCAACTTTTCTTATGGAGATTTAACATGGGGCTAATACTATATATTAATAGACAAGCTTGTTTATGAAACCCTTTTTTCTCAGCTCCTGTGCATCGCAGGGAAAATCTATGCATACTGTTAGAAAGATAACTGCCTAGATGTGCAGAATCCCTTTATAAATTAAAATAGGTTGAAAAATAAGCACAAAAAAATTTAAAATTAAAGCCAAAATTAACATATATAGGCCTTATGGGTTGCCATGTTGGTGACAAAATAACGACAAAAATATAAATAGAAAATCAAAACAAATGGAAGAATTTCCAATCACATGTTTTATTTACAGCGTGGGGTGAAAGTAGGGAAGTTTGTACATCACATACTTTTGGTCGAGTTTTCGACCACAGGGCGAGCTCTACTGTAGTCGTGTCAATTAAAAATGTTTTTTTTTTATATTCTTTCTGGAAGATATTTGGATATCTTTACCAAAAGAAGTTGGAAAGGAAAGGGCTAGATACCTAGAATATATCAATAAGTTTTAAAACTTGTGGTTTAGTAAAATTACTTTAGCAAGTTTCACAAGCCTATTTTTCAACCATTTGTTTTTATATTTGATTAACAAACTAAACACAATAATAAATGTCATGGAAATTTAATTTTAAAGAATTTCCACAAATGGATTCTACATAATTTTATTGGCAGTAAGTAGGCTTATTAATAAATATGAGTAAATGGACCCAGTAATACGTCACAGCACCCACCCTCAAATCTATCTTAGTTAACACGTTTAGTGCTGGCCGGTCAGCTAGGACCGGCCACGAAACTTACACGCAGGCCGGCCCGGTCACCGGTGCTCGACCAGGTCCCGCAGAAATTAATCAATCATTGTGGCGTGGTCTTGAGGAGTAGACGGGAGTTATTGTGTGTGCGTTACTAGTATAACCTAACCTCTATTGCGTGTAAATTTCTACTTACAAATTTAATATCTGCACATTTATTGAGGTAGGCTACATCTTTTGTGTTTTTTTATTGTTATATGACATAAAAATTTGTTTATTTTGTTTATTAGTTTGTTCTGTAGCACTTGTCCAGACAAACCAGGATTATGCATAGGGAATTGTTTCAACAACTTCCACAACACAGTTAGAGTGTAAAAAAACAATGGGTGGGAGGGAGGAAGGGGCTGTAAATAATTGTAAATAATAAATAAATAATAAAACTAATATTATAAATGTGAAAGTTTGTGTGTTTGTTTGTTTGTTTGAAGTTCAATCACGCATAAACCACTGGACGGATTGGGCTGAAATTTGGCATGATGATAGCTTACATTCCCGATTAACATATAGGCATATTCTTATCTCAAAAATCCTTTCGGGCTCCGCTCCAGTGGCTCTGTAACTCCCCATTTTAACCTTTTGAGTATTCATATTGAAAGGGAATTAAAGAATTTAGTCAGCTGTTTCAACTAAAAAAGTTGGTTCTATGATATGGGAAAGCATTAAAAATTTATAAGATTTACCAACAGTGTGCAGCACTATATTTTTTTTGCATTTATTAAAACAGCTAATTTGAACTAAGCAGCAACAAAAAACTGTAATTGAGGCGTCGAGAGGCCAAGGGAGATATGTGACTTTTTAAAAATAGTTGTCATGGTAACGGGTTTTGTTAAAAAAGGGTGGAATTTCAACAAATAATTCACTTATATCCCTTGGCCTCCAAACTTAACACCTAAGAGTTGGAAGCCAAGGGGTATAAGTGAATGTATTTTTATTTTTATATTTTTTTTATGACCATGAAAAAAATATAATGACATTTTTTAAAAAGTCACAAATCTCCCTTGGCCTCTTGACGCCTCAATTCGCAATGAGAACTGTCAAAGTAGGATTGTTTACAGTTATGTTTATGTTTTTCATTTCATGAATAATTTGTGATATTTTGCGAATTGTTGATAATTTATTTTTTTCTATTGTTTAGGTGAAGTGGTAGAACATTATGGCTATGGTAGATGTGTAATACTATAAAATACTGTAAATTTAAAAAAGCAAATTTTATCAAACTGTGTCCTCCCTTATTGCAAACGCAAAGCTTGAGTGTAACTGCAATAAGCATTTTATACTTATATTCCAACTCCGTACGAAGGACGGGTACTCTGCTAGTAATAAATATAGTGCAATTTGACATTTTTAGAGTGTTTTACATTTTTACCATAGACGTCATTGCGCGGGCCTGCCCGGTCACCGGTGACCGGCTATTTTGGACGCAATTTTTTTTTTTAAAGCTCAAAACACCATTTCCGACCTTGATTCTCACTTCTGGGAAAAAAGGTAAGATTTTAGGTAAAATAAATTTTCAGGCCCTGGGGAAGCACCCACTGATATTTGTACCACACTCAATGTGTTAAGCTATAACTTCTGGGCTGCAATAGAAATAAATACGCCCATTGCAGCAAAGCTGCTGACTAAGGGAATTTCCACTTGGTTGATTTTATTAAATACTCCCTTAAACATATCCGATTGATTCACTATTTAAAAAATATTAGGTTTAACGAGTACTTAGAATTGCTGCTACAGGTAGTTTAAAGTGTATTTTTTTTGTAAAATATTAATAGCTTAGTAAAAAGTAAATAAATTTGCAGAGTTTGATCAAAATATATCCATAAACAAGCAAACTACAAAAATGTTAGTATCGGGAATTATTCTTTTGCACAGTTTTACAATTAATAAAGATATAAATAAGGCATATTTTAGAAGTAATTTTGGGAAAGCTAGATTTTTCTATGCTGTTAGACCATGTTGAGATGAGTATTTTCCCAAAACTCCCCACTCCCCCCCCCTAGTGCTTTCCTCTCACCCCCCACCTTTTTAGATAAATTTACAGTCTCTTAGAAAATTAGCTATATAACTTTAAAACGGCCAACGGGTAAGGATAACAATGCAATCTTTTGGTCCCACATAGCACAGAATATCCTCAGGATATCCCACAGAGTTTCCAAAACGTCCCAATATCCCATGAGATATAGGAATATCCCTGGGACATTCCTGGGATATTCCCGTTACAATAATTAATTTAATTTTTTTGAGGGTTTTTGATCGAGGCATATATCTTTGGCATATCCCTAGAATATCCACGATATCCTTTTTTCATAATTTATTTGTAAAATCCACTAATAACTCAAGTAGGCCTACTTCTCGAAATATGCTACCGAATACAGCTTTCCCACTCAGCACAGGATCCTGACCACAGTTCCTACATATCCCACATAGATCCCAGGATTTGAGAATGTCCCTAGGATCAATTTAAGATATTGCACATATCCAACACAAACGAATGCATTTTGAGGATATCCTGGGGACTTCCTATGGATATTCTCGGTAGGCTACCTATATTAAAACATATTTTATAGTATTGGATGTATTTTTTCAACTGACAAGCGCTTGAGATACATTATTAAAAAGGATTTCAATACTATTTTGAATTAAAATAACTAATAACGTTACTAAATGATTTATAAAAATTAATCATGCCCAATAAGCAAAAAAATTGTTAAAAGTTGTCGAAAGCTGTATTACAATAATTGTTGTATAACCACAGTTTTAAAATATTTTTATTTAAACTTCATACCTATTACAACAATTTTGATATAAGATTGAAACAATTTTAAAATTGTTTAACAATAAGTTTTTTGCAGTTGAAAAAAATAAGTTTCAATACAAGCTGTAACTGTTTTACAACAATTTTAAAGTTGTTTTACAATCAGTTTTTTTTAGTTTAAGAAAATTAGTTTTAATACAAGTTGTAAACTGTTTTACAACAATTTTAAAATTGCTTAGCAATGAGTTTTTGGCGGTTTAAAAAATAAGTTTTAATACAAGTTGTAACTGTTTTACAACAATTTTAAAAATATATATTTTTAAATTATATTGAGTTTTAGGTACCTCAGCTAACGTCTATGATCTAAAATTAGAGTTTTTCATTTTTTTCAAAAAATGACATTTTTATTACTGTTTATTTCACCAGTTTACATTTGTATTTTGTATAATCCATAATGTTCATACATGTGATACATTTTAGAGATATTTTGCATTTTATTTACCCGTATTGATGTCTATTGATTTATATTTACATCTAACATATTTAAAAAATATTCTCTGTTGATATCAATGAACGATTTGTTTGCTTTAATGATCTATATTGATATCATTTTATGTTTATAGATGTCTAGTGATATGTATTGACTAAGTTTTCAGTGATGTCTATTTTGTTTGTATTTACTTGTAATGATATCCATGAACATCTATTGATATCACTAAGCATCTAGTGATATCAATAGATTTTTTCTATTGATTTCTATTGATGTCTTCCACTAGGGATTAGATTCAAGAAAAATCGATTGTTCAAGTGTTTCTGTGGAATGACTGCAGGGGCGTCGCCTTGGGGGGGGGGTAGGGGGGGAGCCTCCCCCCCCTAGAATCTGGGAAAGAGAAAAGTTGGGAATTTCCTAGCCACGAGTTGGGACAGTTGGGAAGTCAGATACGAGAAAAATATATTTTTAAACTAAAAAAATTTTAAATATTTGCGAAAATCCATCAAAGATAAAAATTTCTTTG